GTTTTAGCTTCGATTTTTCAGATGGAATAACATGACAGGCAGCCTACTCTACTGGGTCGAGTTTTGCAGTGCAAATTCCTCCTGTCGGGGGGYTATGTTTACAACATAAGCTTGTCAGCTTTGCGCTGATTGGCTAGTCGCATTTTCTCAAATCACCCAGCAGCTGTATGCAAAATAACGAATAGCATAACATTTTACTATAAAACAACTCGCGATAAAAATGTATTGTATAAACATTTTAGCGATGCATGTGATTCGTCACTGGTAAATAATAAAAACATAACTATAAAGAGACAGCTTGTAACATGAGAATGTAAGCACTTTCACTTTGAGACAACCGTTTCTTATATTTTGATATAAGTTGAATGCCAAAAATGTAAAAATCTATTGCTTAGAAAACATTTTCACCATCTTAGAGCAATAATACAACTTTTGTGTGGATTTAAATAATAATCGAGTATTTTAGCGATCAAATATAGCAACTTCCGGTGTCAGCCTCGTTTCCATGTTGGTACATTTATATGCAATTTTATAGTGTCACACAAAAACCCGATTTTTAAGACCTTCCCCTACTCGAATCTTCTGGGACTTTTTTTTGGTAGTTAATGGGATACTAACGGACATGTTGATGAAGAAAAAGCTTCTGTTGCAATTAGTGACAGGTCATTTCGTAGAATGACTGGACTAGATATTCTTTTCGACTGCTCTCTGCAACGACTTTGACCTAAAAGGTCATGTAATTAATACCCTGCGAACGGGAATCGGGATTTGCCGAGTTGGAATCCGAGTCTGAGTCAGAGTTGGAATCGAGTTGGAACCCGAGTTAGGACCGAGTTAATTAGTTTTAAAGTATAATAACATATTAACTAGATTTAACGAATTTGACCAAAAAATTACTTCCTTACGAAATATGAACTTCGTACTGGCCGCATGCGTTCGCTCTCTTTCGCGATGTCTTTGGACAAGGCGGGACAAGGAAGATATGCTTGAGGGTTGTTCTCAAAAATAAATATTGAAATGAACTTGTCTTTTCCCACAACACACTAAATTGACTGGAATCAAACTTCTGCACGATAAAAATCACAATTGTTTCATTGGAAGTTGTTTGATGACTTATTTTTCATCCAGAGGTCAATGTTGTATCATATTTCGAACACTTTCGAATTCAGGTYTCAATTCTTGATCAACATATGGCCTTAAACCAGGTTTTGAAACTATTGCACTGATTTTAGCAGTTCTCATAACTACGAACAGTATTCTGATTGTGTATGCACACATAGACCTAATCGGCTAACGCTTTTTCAACCCAATTCAAACCACCGGGGAGTAAGTTTCAATATTCAGTATTTTTCATAGTGCTATTTATTTTTATCCAATAGCTGCTCATAATGCATGACATTAGACCGAGTTCTTCGTATAGTTTTCTCTRCTGAAAAACGGGATGAAGATATAACTTGAACTTATTTACAGCTTGATTAGTAATTTGATAAAAATAGAGGCTCAGATAGATAATTTTTATACCAGGAACAACTGTTGTATGTTTTGTTAGAAATGTTGAGACATTTTTACACATATTTAGTAATTATGGTTTTGGGATTTAGATTAAATGTGATTTATGAATTTTCTTGTGATTTTTGAATTTTTTTAAATTTTTAAAGTTTACATAGTACAATGTTTTTTGTTATTCCTTTTTATTTAACGAAAAATAATTCCATTTATGATCTAAATTGGCATTTATATTAGTTAGGTGCAACTTTTTAATACGATTGTTACAGTTCAAGTCAGTATCACAAACTGCAATTTTGATAAAAGTTACAAAATAGATCACTATGTATGTTGGCACTAGGTTGCTTGTGTTGACGATCCAAAGAAAATGAGTTTATTTTCCATTGAAAACTAACATAACTCTTACAAATGTGTTCTCTGGTAACATCTTTGCCGCCTAGACAAATTTACATGATTTACATAATGTCACATGATACTTGAAAATTTACATAATCTTGAATTAGCCGCTACACCCTACCCCATGCGATACAAAGTGGAGCATACAATACAAGGCTAAGCGAAAGATTACTTAATGTTCAATCAAAATGTTCAAAGTTCAATTTATTAACTCAACAACAGATGACTGTCTATATGGACTTCTTAGCGTGCAGCTTGTTCGCTGTCTTTCATCGTGGATGCTTCTTCCAATAGACATAATTTCTGGATTGGTCTCTTAAGCGTGGATGTCTGCGTCCTAACTTCAACAGTTCTGACTAACCCGTCCCGACCGGTACTTGTACTGACGATGCGTCCCAAAGGCCACTTTCCGCGAGG